ACATTTATATATAATGAGTAAAAACAACATTTTTATTTGAAAAAAAAAATAAATAAATAAAAATAAAAAAATTGTCAGCTGATGATAAATGATTGATGAAATTATTAATTTATAGCCTACTTACTTAGACTCTTAAAATCCGTAAATGCAAAAGCAATTTAATTCGCTAAATATGTTATTTCGTATTCATAAATGAAAGTTGATAACAAGAAGAAAAAATGTAGGATTTAATCAGAAAAAATAAATTATACAAGCGACTAATCGCCTATTCGTACAATTTTATTTCAATCGAGCGATTCCATTTATTACCAAAACAACGAATAAATCTCACACCCTTGTTAAAATTATCCTATCAACGAGACAAATTATTCGCTACAGATAAAACCCGTTTACAAATTTAATGGTGTAAAAAGGTAATCAAAAATCGTGAAATCTATGTTCGCGCAAGCATTAACAAATTTATAGATTTTAAAAATGCGAATAAAAATCCACAAAACACTCATCCATAGTTAACATTTTTTTCTTCTTCGTTCCTTTGTTTTTTGTTGTTGTTGTTGTTGTTGTTGATGTTTTTTCTTTTGTTTGTTCTTTTCTAATAACGATACACTGGCATAATTAATCAATAAAATTGTTTTTCTCTTAATTAGGAAATTCATATCCAAGTACATGATTATAGAAATCAAATTAACCTGCACTTTATATACATTTACGGTATTATAGAATAATGAAATCATTAAAATTTCATGATTAATTGAATTATATGATAAAATTTGGTAGCATTACAACAATGGTATTCTTGAATTTGAAAAAATTACCAAACAAAGCCTAATAAATTTCGTTAATATTTTCTATCTATCGCTTCGAAAGCTCATCGATTAATAATAAAAAGAAATATTTCGAGATAGTAAATCTTAACTCGTGCATTGTAATTCGGCGATACAATGTCTTATTCATTATTAGGCGTTTAGCATCTCATGCACGAAATTGAGATAATTGCTATGTTAACAATTCAACTACAAATACTCAATTGAGAATAAAAGTTGGGCGGACTGTTGTGAAATCACGAAGCTTCTTTTCAAAAGAGAACATCGAGTATTTTTCAAATATTCAAAATTACACGCATCTAAAGCAAATGATTCCACGATGAACAAGTTAATCGCTTATATTGAATTTAACGAACGGCCAAAGCCTTTCGACATGCGTGAAAGGGAAAATCGATCATTCATCGATAATCCAGCTAATTATTAATTAGAAATATATAGAAGACACTAGCTTCCGAAATTAAGTAAACGACTAATTGCAATTAGCGGCATTCGTGCATACGTACGGAGAAATAAGAATACGCAATGATGATAAAATTGTATAATATTTCAGTTATGGTAAACTAAATAGATTTAACCTTTACGTTAAAAAGCTATTATCCGTATAAAAGCCCACGGATTGGCTGTAATTTTCAACTTTTCTACTAAATACCATTGATCAAGACCATTGAGAGAGTGAGAGAGTGAGAGAGAGAGATAGAGAAATAGAGAGAGAGAGAGAGAGAGAGAGAGAGAGAGAGAGAGAGAGAGAGAGAGAGAGAAACAAGGTCGTATACATGAGTTTGTAGCGGTAGATAATGCATCGATAAAGCGATTAGGAAATTTATTTTTGCGACTAAAAAACAAAGTAAAGTAAACAGGCTGTTGGAAGTTGAAATAAGAGACTAGTAATAATAGGGCTAAGCAGAAACGGCGAGAAAGAGAGTGAGCGGTGGTAGGGGTAGCGTTGGCGGTGGTTGACGACGGGGGAGGGACGGAGGGAGATTGGATGTAAACAGGATTTACTTGAAGCGAATGTCGTCGGACGATAATCTGCCGCTGATTCTTCGACACCCAAGTGCTCTTCTCTCAAATTGACTCGCTTTCGGAAGGCCGCAATTACGCGCCTGTATTCGTGAAAATATACGTCAGTCGAAAATCGCCTCGGGAATTTTCGACATGCACATCCCCCTGCGAACACGCGCCTATCTAATTAGTCTTTCTCTTTCTCCTTACTCCATCCCTCTCGCCCACCCGTCATCGTCATCATCTTCATTAATCGTCGGTTGCATTTCTATCAATCCATACGGATGTATCAAACGGCCCGTCCCGTCCATTCATACGTCTGTCTCTCCACCTCCGCGGACCAATCTCATTCCTTCGTGTATTATTATACTATAAATACATGTTACCGATAATAACAAAGTTTGCCTAGACTATAACCACTACGATGGTAGAGTTCATAAAAACGACTAAGCTGCTTTTGATTGAATTTAGCGTGCTTTCAAGCCCCGATCCGACATTATTTCCAGCATAATATCTCCCTCCATGATATACCAAATCTTTTTATATGAAAATGCAATGGCATTAAGAGCCCATAAAGTCATTACAATCGATTAACATGAATCCGTGGATATTTTACGTGTAAAACCTGTCATTCGTTTGGTCAAATTAATATTTGACAACCTGAGACATTAGTACGAACAAATATAAACAATTTTCTATCGTTCAAATAATTTAGTAACATTGTGCTAGGTATTTGAAATATTACATTTTTTTGTTTTGTTTTATTTATTTGTATTAAGAATGGAGAGAGTTAGAATCAATATATTTTAACCAATATTTATCAGTATGTATGCTTGTATATGTATACATTTCCTTTCATTAAAATTGCAATTAACAATTAATCAATCCACGTATAGTTTTATGATTATGTATTGACACTATATGATTTTGTACACAAAACAGTATAATTTAATAGATGAATTTTATTGACACGCGTACATTTCATTTGTTAAAAATACATATTTAGCATATTTATGTAAAATAAAAATAATACAAATTAAAAAGAAATTTAAATAACGTAATTTAAGCGGATGTTTATTTTAATACGTAACTTAAATTTATTATAAGAAAAAACTGAGATTATGAGTCCGTTTAAATGGCCTGAGCATCTATCGCTCAAAATGTTGGCTCATTCCAAAATTCAAATTTATGTAAATTATAAGAAATTGATGATTTTTTGTTGTTGTTGTTGTTGTTGTTTGTTTATTGGTTTTGTTTTTAGCCATACAGTGAACTTGTCATAGTCGATGAATTATTAAAGTATTCATGTCCCGATGCACAACGCTCACATTAGTTATTATTTGTTAAAACTGGCCTTTTTTCGTCCGCGCAATCAAAATCCAAATGCGAGAGTGCCTATGTACACACACACGCGCAAACGCGATCTCCTCCCTAAGTTTCCATCTTTTTTCCGGGTTTCATTTTTAAATAACGGCGACTAATAAGAAGCCGGCGATTTGCGGCGCACCACGAGGTAGAAAACTCGTATAACTGTTTCGAATTAGCGTGGCGTTGAACTTCCCCGCCTCTTATTCGTCTTCTTTTCTATTTTATCCCCAAGTTTCGCAAATCTCCCCCTATCCGTTTCCACCTCGCGCAGACTCTTTCTCTCCGTTTCTTAATTTCTCTTGTCGTCAAGTTTGTTTGATTGATTGTTGTTTGTTTGTTCGTCTGTTTGTGTAATTGAATTAGGTACATTTAATAGAAGAATTGAATTTAATAAGCCGAAAACGTTATATTTAACACCATGAATAACTCTGATGGAATATTATGGATAATAATATTATTTAAAAAAATAATTGAAAGTAAATGACCATATGGAAAATCTCTTGCATTAAAAATTCTGCCATCATTAACGTACGACTTATCAAAAGCTCTTCTTAGTATGCGCATTTTATTATTCGTTACATACTATCTATTCATGATCATTATTCATGTTAATCGTGTCAAAGTCACATTAATTGCCACTATCTAACGTTTTCCGCATTCTCCATCGCTCGCTAAATCTAAACGAATCATCAATTTTTCCATCTATGTATATCTATATACGTATATTGAAGGGAATGTTTAAAAGAAAATCTATGCACTCTTGCGTTTATCGTTCGAATTTCCCATCAGTTTCCCGATAACAAGATCGTAATTGAATTCGGAGAATACGTCTACAGTGGCACGGAGAAACATACGTATCACCGTGTATGTATTTACGGATATGGGCAACTGATGGACAATACCATTACAAAATGAAAGAAACGGGATTTAACTTTCCATGAATAGAGAATGACAGAGGTGGACGCAATTTCTGTAAAATATAAGAATACGAAAAGTATACGCGCCCAATGTGCTTCGTAAATCATAATATCCGAAATTTGTATTATTTATTTATTATTTGCAAACGTTAGTTCGCACGTGACCTACAATACGAAAGCAATTATGCAAATAAAAAAAAAAATGGCAGGTAGTCTTTTTTGTAAACTAAAGCTGCGTATGTCGAATGTAACGCTAATGCTACATGTCACAAAAAAAGAATATCTAAACAGCTTATTTTCCCAAGTACTTTCATTAAATGAAAAACTTCGCTTAACATTATTCTCGCCGTTGTAAAACGAGCTTAGTAGGCATAGCAAGAGTTTAGCTTGTTATTTAAGAATTCGATCGTGCAGCATTATAACGAACCGATTGAATATTCTTTAAAATATTGTTCATAAACAACTCAAGATACTTCCCAGCTTTTAAAGATTCTATGGTACTCAGATTTTTTGTTCTTTCTCCATCGTTTCTTAATTTAATACATGCGTCATAGATTATATAACGCGCGATGTAATCACCGGAAACAATTAGCACACTCCTTAAATGAAAAAAAAAAAATAAATAATATTCGCTGATACTTTCAGTGGGCCTCTCGTTCCATTGAAAGAAAAGTTTCGAGCATCTCTAAATGCATAATATTGAGAATTTCGTCAATTTGTTTGAGAGCGGTTAAAAGCAAGTTTGCTTCTTGAATTCTAACGTAAAAGACAATTTACTCTAGCTCTGATCGATCCAACATTCGATTGAAACAAAAAAAAAACAAAAAAAACAAAAACAAAAAGAAAAAACAAAAAATTAGCAAATTAGAAAGAGTTGGTGACAACTTACAGCAATGACGTGCTCTCCCTTGCCGGCCTTCGCAATAATGTCCCAATCTATCGTGTCGGCGTAGCAAAGAACCGAATTCTTCTCGAAGCGCACGGAGCCTCGCATTATGTCAGTCAACGAGTGCAGTCCGATCTCTTGCAGATTCGTCATTTCGAAGGCCACCAATGCGTAATTGACGAACAGTTGGTGACCCCTTATGACGGTCAGATTCGGGAACAAGTGGCCGATACTCCGCAGTCCTTGCACTCTGAAATTCGAATTGAATAATATTGTGCAGTTTAGCTTGCTTGATGGGCTGCGAGTGTCGACTCATCTCACCTCACCGCAACATTTCTACTTGAAAGTCAAATGTCGTTGATAAAAATTGTAAGTATTGGTAACTTGTATAATATGGTCGTTTTACGTAGGCAACAGTGTATGTAACAAGAGATTGGTAATATTTAATAGCACGTTCTACGATTTTTTTTTATTATAAGAACTGTAGAGTATAAATATGGCTAGGTTTTACGAGAACTTTGATAAGCGTTAACGAATCGATGCTAAAAGGCATCGAAGATGAACCAATAACGCTCGATGGAACTTTATGAATAAAATTAATTAAACAACTGTTAATTCGTTTATAATGCAGCTCCCGTGGATATTGGCAATTTAGTACACGGCACCATAGGTGCTAATAATTTTTATCTTACATTTAATTGCATACATATATATATATATATATATTGTTAACAACATTATTTATAGCTATTGTCTAACAGCAAGTGACTAAACAATGTTTTTCCTCTGCTCTTCCCTCGTTAAAACTCTTCCAACCATATTTCACTATGAAATAAGCGTTGATAAGTATTCAATGCAATCGCATGCAAATAAACTGACATATTATTCGTACAAGCGAGCAAACTTACAAAATCAAGGTCCCTTGTTGTTGCTTAATCTTACAATTACTCCGCTTGTGTATTTGTTAGTGTGTGTATGTCGCGGGCCATTTTAAATCGTTCTAAATTCATTTGCAGCAACAAAGAGCAATAGTATTGGCACATGTAACGTTTAATTGATTTTTACGTTAATATTAAACATTGTATTATTATTATATTGCATTACATTATTTATTAATTTTCTTTTGCAATTAAAATTTGGAATTTAATTTCTTGAAAACTGTTGAAGGCTTGGATTATTAAATGCCGTATAATCGTACACATGTGCTAAGTGTACACACCGAATGAAATTTTTCTCCATTAATTTATTATCTGACCGATGCATAATATAGGTTAATTTCTCAAATAGTACATAAGAAAAAAAAAACTGTTCCACAATTATTTTTTATTTCTATTTTTCTTTCTCCTTCATTTACATTAAGTTGCAAAATGTCTCTGCCAAATTAGAAACAACCATAATAATATTACATTTGAAGTTTCATTTAATTTCATCTAATTATTCGTCAAATTACTTTTCTCATACGAAACATTTGACTGTGACAACATGTCGCGTGATATCTCACCACCAAAGTGATATATCAAATTGTCTTTGTCGTAATAGATAGATTATTGGATCGTTAAAGTCTCGATAATTGTCCCAGTGAGCGGAAAGTAGCGATTCGATTATGCGAATAAGACTTTTCACCGTAGATCATCGAGAATTCGTAGGAAATTGATTGATCGGACGAATAGCTCGAGCTCGATCCCACAAAATCCGAGCGCAGTGGTGAATATGGCTTACCTGTACAGCATTAGGTATCCGGTAATTTCCACGAGCTCGGGAAATACGAGATCCGCATAAGACGTATCGTTGGCCTGGTCGATCAAAAGGATCTGCACAAAGCCCTCGATGACGCGGCATCCGTACAATTTCGAAAATTCGCTCACTTTATTCCTTATGTCAATACTTTGGCACACTGCAAGAGAAAAGAAAAAAGAGCGAATGATTATTACATTACAGAGCTCCATGTGTTATTCGATACGTATTTCGTCGATTCGCTATATTGGAAAAATATATTGTCTTTATGTAACACGCTAAAGCCTGGGAGGAGGAATGTTATGAATTGTTTGAATTAGGAGGCAGAATAGTTAGCTCTTGGTAGGGAGGGGATTACTCTCGAGGTGAGAATTTGAGAATTTTTATTTTGTTATTATAACGGTGCTTTTAAATATTTAATTGGCATTCAATATAGAGGCCGATGGGACACCTCGTTTTGGAAATAAGTCGGCTTGGTTAATTTGAGCCTTTAAGCTTCTTCTTTTTTACTTTTTTTTTCTGGTTTGGTTTTTGTTTTATTTTGTTTATTTGTTTGTTTGTTATATTGTTTTACTGCCTTTAAGTTGACCCATAAACATGTCCCATACCTTTTAAATGACTAACTGTATTTGTATTCTTAAATTGAAGATATTTTTGTCATCGTATTTATAAAATTATAGGCAACTCTTTAGAAATATATATCGTATATCGTTACTAAGACGCATATATTAAAAATGTACTGTAAAGGTATTTTATTGAAAAAGAAAAGAAAAAAAAAAAGAGAGTGATATTATTTATATAATTATTATTAATAAAAATAGTATTTACGTTAAAATTTAATGTGCTTTTTATTCAAAGTTCTTTCATTCTTTTTTTTTTTTTTTTTTTTTTTTTTTTTTTTTTTTTTTTTTTTTTGTTAATGATTTTTGCTTTCAGAGATGTAATAACCCAATTAGCAGATAATAATTCACGACAGTAAATACTAATTTATGTATCTTTAATTAATACGTATAATTCACATTGCTTTGTAAGTTTATTACATGCGTCTGATATTTACGATGAGTTTCGTACTTACAAACATTTATAGTCGTTATGAATTTAATATTTATACATTGCAAAGCCTTGAAAAGTATATTTACATTTGGCCTTGTCTTGAAAATCACTTTCCTCTAAGTAAAAATCAACGATTTAAAGAATTATTATCTTGGTTCTTTAAACGTTTGCCACGTTAAAAAAATTTTATCACTCCGCTTCCATGTTAAATGCCCGTTGGTGTTTTCACATGAGTAAGAACTATTTAACAAACGACGAGAATCAAGTGGAAATCAAAGTTTAAAAATAAATACTTGTACGGATCTTACATTAGAACAGAATAAAAGAAGAAAAACGAGTTCATTGCTGTCATAAAGCAGATCAAATGTCAAGTATAAAAAAAATTTTTTTTTTTTTTCCAGCAACTGGAATTATTTAAATATAATAAAATAGCCTTGTTTCTATGCTTTCAGATGCTTCGAGGTGCAAGCTTGCTGACATCGTTTCATTAATAAAAGAATTATATATAATTTACGTATGTTTGCAAAAATTTTTTTATTAAAATTATCATTAAAAGAAGGAAAAAAAGCAATCCCAAATCATTTGGATGAATCGAAGAAATTCTTGAAAAAAAATTTTTCATTTTCTGTATGCGTATAGTTTCCTATGCTCGAACGAAATATATTAAACCTACTGAATATATTCCTTTCTCTACAAATATCAAACACTGGACTTAAAAATATATATTTTTTTAATATTTTTAATTATTATTTTTGTAGAATGACAGTAAGAATTAAATGAGTGAGAGCAATGGAGTGTCATTTTGTGATGAATGCGATGAAGTTGAAATAAAATTTCATACAAATATTGCAAATTATTAAGGAATATGTATTTTGTGGTGATTAAAAGACAATGATGGATAGGCTATTATTGAAAATATCGTCTATAAAATTTGGAAATTAATATGTTAAAAATTACCAGACGAATTTTAAGTCCGTTTGTGTTGGCCGTAATACTGAAGAAGTTGACGACTGTCAATAAAAATCGTGTACTATTTATCAAGTTATCTTAAAATAAATGTAAATTATATATCTAACATGACAATAAATAATATTTTTAAATCAATTACATTTTTTACATAATTATTTTTCTTTAGGTTTGGAAATCTGATTTACCTTCGCGAAACACTAAATTATTCTTCGAACTAACGATTAGTATAATACTCTTATACATTATCAAGACGATTAATCGTTATGAGCCAGATATTTTTGTAGATAGTACTTTATAAAAGCCCATTCTATGCCCTTCCAACTACATATTGATTTACAAATATCTTTTTCCATTTAATTATGAATATATAAATTATCGTGCAAAAGCATCTGAATTTTTTGTGCGATTATTGAATTTGTTCGATTACATATAAGTGAGTATTAGCAACATGCTCGTGTCAGTTGAACAATATTTTCTTCAATGATCAATTGAGTTGTTTTTTTTTTCCGATTCATGCATAAACTACGGATTTTTATTAATTTGTAACGCTCGGATTCATTGATTAGCGTCAAAATATACGAAAACGTTTGAAATGTTTATGTATTGGGCACTCGGCGCACTTCCATCATCTCTTCTACCGTTGTTTCTATGCCAATGTTTGCACATTCGTGCATAGAGGAATTCGCATTATTATAACAAGTTTTCCTAGTGCAAATAAAACAACCGAGGTGAAACGAACGTACTTTATGAAATTGCTATAAAAATGTTTAAGTACAAAGTGTATTTGTCGGTGATTTGAAGTAGCGATGTTATTTAAAACAAGGTACTCTGACTCTTTCTTCACCAGCACTAAACACGGAATGATAAATTATTATTTATGTAAAACCTATAATTTGAAAATTGTAACAAGGCTTGTAACACTAAACACAATATTTACATCTAAGGCTATTCAACATACGGACGCAATCGCCGTCAATTTTTTCATCGAGACCCTCGGCGCAGCGGGTCTAAGCATTTTAAAGCAAAACACATCCGACACTAACAGCTATTGCGCTAAAAAGCTTTTCTCCGTATCCCGTACCAAAGTCATACATCATTTTCATTGAAAAATCGGATCTCGTGTGAATAACACATGATAAATTCAGCCCGAGTTTACGAAGCGAGAGAGACGGAGAGAGAGAGAGAGAGAGAGAGATAGAGAGAGAGAGAGATAGAGAGAGAGAGAGATAGAGAGAGAGAGAGATAGAGAGAGAGAGAGATAGAGAGAGAGAGAGATAGAGAGAGAGAGAGATAGAGAGAGAGAGAGATAGAGAGAGAGAGAGATAGAGAGAGAGAGAGATAGAGAGAGAGAGAGATAGAGAGAGAGAGAGAGAGATATATAAAGAGAATGCTCGCAGATTATCATTCCCAACAATTCGACGCACCGGTGAACTTTGATCCGACTAACAGATACGCTTGCCTCATCCGCCACCTATCCCCACCCTCACCTAGCCACCCCCCCCCTTCTGCCATCTCCCCGGCTCTATTTTTTGCCCTCGTGCGCCACCGCCAACCTTCCGGCTAAACGATCTCCGGCATCCGGACGGGATCACAAGGGGACGTTGATCTTCGGTAGAGTGCGCGCGCATCCGCCGTCGTAAACACGTATCCCGGCAATCCTATCTGTACACTTCGACCTTCCCGATTGAACGGCGCTGCGTCGATCCTCCTAGGTCAAGGAAGTTTGCGCGCCCATTAAAAATTATTTTCCCGCCAGCCGGCATTCCCGTCTCGTGGTTCCTCTCCCCGACCCCTCCAGCACCAAGTAACGAGGGCCACCAAGCGCACCTCGTCGAGTACGGAAATATCGGATGTGGATTGGGGTTGGTGATGGGCGGGCATATTGTTAAATTTGCGGGGAGTTTCACAGTCCGGATTTAACGCGAATGTCGGGGTGCTGCTGAAGTCCCGCCGAGGCTATTTATTCAAATCCTTAATACCACCGTCTTTTTCACGTCCGTGAAACACTAGCGAACGACGTATACGCGATACACCCCCCCCCCAATCCTCTATCACCGTATAAAAAACAAAATACCTTCGTTACGCATTTGTTATACTCTTTCGAAAGAGAGAGAGAGAGAGAGAGAGAGAGAGAGAGAGAGAAGGCTTCGAGTTTCCGTAGCCATTTACCACCAACGCACTGTCATCGAAAATAATCGCGAATTACGCAACAATCAACGTCCCTCCAATTAACAATCCTCTCATTAATCAACATAATACGGTGCGCAAAAATCGTCGGACTTGAGCCTCCATTATTTGACCATCGAGCTTTTTCCCTTCCAATGCAAGGAATTTTAAAAACTTAGCCGATCGGCCAACCAGCCAGCCAACGGGCGCCTACAATTACCATTAGGTAATAGGATGGTGATAATTATGCGGAGCCCATCGGAACTGAAACCGTCGCTAGTACTAGTACACGCGCATGTTATCCACCAATAAATTGCGCGGCAAAGCGAAACGAGCAATGAGCTCTCACCGAGGCGATAAGAACGACTCGGTAACGAGTATCAGCAGCCTCGGGCGAACTTGGTCATTGACAGCATCCCGAGCTCCAGTGCCGTAAATTTAACGGACGGACGAACGGGCGGACGGACGAGGAGCGGGTAACATTGCCAATGCCATTTCACTTTCTTCGCGATGGGGTTGAGTCGTTTGGCGCAGAAACTTTGCGCAGAGGGACGAAAAATCATGTACTAAGCGCGCTGACGCTTATGGAATGATTGGGCCCGGTCAGTGACCAGCTCCCGTCATCCTGGAATCGTCCCACCGAGAGCAACGAGATACCAAATTCCGAGAGTCGCTCGGCCGTGATGAAGAGTGACGCGTCGCCGGACCGAGCCCCGGAGCCCGGGTTGAAGTCCCGAGTCTGTTCTCCCTTCGTTCGCGGCCACGGGCTTCTATCTATCGATCCGGAGATTCACGAGAGACGTTATGTAATAGCTCCACGTCGTCGTCGCTCGTCGTTATATGGATGTCGAATTGGAACGGCCGTGCGCAGCCACGAGATCACGCACTACGACGCACCGTGTTACGCCGATAATGCGCGCGCGTTTGAACTTTGTCCGCCGTCCATCTTGCGGACGCGCGCTGACGGATGCG